CTGAGGGGCCTGCCGGCTGCCTCCAAGCACATGCAAGGCAGAAATTCTCTCCCTTACACAGGCAGCAAAGGGAGCCTTGCAAAAGTTCAGCAACTTGTGGGGGGTAGAGGGGGATGGAGGGGGATGGAGGCAGGGGACATGATGATAGGGACCAGGAGGCCACGGTGGGCTTTGTGAAGTGGGCACCTGGAGCGGGGTGGGAACACGGGCAGAGCTGCACTGGCCTCAGGGTTACCCTCCTGGCCGTCACCATCCATGGTTCCCATTTGCACCCTGATTTTCAGGGGGAGGAACACAGGGTCTTGGTGGTGGGAAGGCTGCCACGCCCTAGGGGACAGCACACTGGATCAGGTACCTGGCCACCCCATGCTTCCTGGATTCCCCTACCCTGCAGGCCCTCACGGGCTGCCCATCTCCCCACCCATGGCCTTCAGAAAACCTTGGCTATGGTGCAAAAGTGTCAAGGTGAACGACGCTCGGCACTGAGGACCCCATGGGGCATGAGATGTGGCACTCCCAGGGCCAAGCGTCCCTACACTGACCATGCAGGACCTGCACTTCACCAGCTGTATGGCAGAGTGTGGGCTGTCAGACCAGGCCCCGTGCTGCTCAGGCACACAGGTGAGCAGCCCAGAATGTTCCTCTCCACCATCTGGTGGCCCCACCTGGCAAGTGGATGAGCACGCACCACCCACAGGCCCCAGCCCTGGCTGTGCAGCCTTGAGGCCAGGAGAGAAGGAATGGGCTGCCAAGGGCACCCCAAAGGCCAGGGACTCCTCCCAGGCTCACCATCAACACCCTTGTAACAGAGAGATCATGTTGCCCATTTACAAATGAGGACGCCACAGCCCAAAGAGAAAGTGAACTCAGGACTCCCACTGTCTGGCACTGCTCACTCGGCCAGCAGTCCACCAACATGGCGCCCCCAGGTTAAGGACTGACCACCGCTGGAGGCAAGCAACGGAACGCCATGGTCCACTGTACCATCCTGTGCTTATGATGACGTGTTCTTAAAACTAGCCAAGACAACTTAAAGAACAAGGTGTCAGTGGAGGGGTGGGGGAGGTGGGAACATTTCTCTATCAAATAATGAAGACTCGCTATAAAGACTCACTATAAAGCTAGATCATTGGTGAGGACAGACCAGACCAGAGAGCTAGGCATGTATGAGAAGGATGGCACCATGGACAGGCTGGGCCAGCTTGGCATCCTTAACCTGGGGTGGGAAGGTCTGTGCCCTGTGGGGAAAGGGGCCTCTACTCGTTAGGGTAGGATAGGTCACGCTGTGGGATACACAAGCCCCCAAACTCAGCGGCTCCACATCTCAAACCGATTCCCACTCCTATTACATGTCTGGTGCAGGTAGGTGGAGGGGCCCGTGCCCGTCACTGGCTATCTGATGACCACGGCAGAGCCCTCTGCACGCCACGCCATTAGTCAAGCTGACTTGAGAGTCAATGTAAAAGGCAAAACATTAAAACTGGGAAATACAGGGTAATGTCTTTGTACCCTCAGGCAGGCAAAGATTTCTGAAATAAGCATTCCTAGCATGTTCTGCTGCCGTGGCCTGGAGAGACTCTGCACCCCCAAGAGTGCTCACCATAACATTATTGGAAATTGCAAAAATGAAAAACAAGAAATCCATCTTGGGCATTATGATGGGCAAATTGTGTCCCCCCCCCTCCAATTCACCTGTTGGAAGTTCTAGCCCCTACCCTCTCAGAATGTGACTCTATTTGGAGACAGGGCCTCTAAAGAAGAAATTAATGTTAAATGAGGTCATATGGGTGGCCCCTAATCCAATAGGACTAGTGTCCTTATAAGAGGAAATTAGGACAGGCACAGAGAGACAACCATGTGAGGAGACAGGGAGCAGATGGCCATCACAAGCCAAGGGGACAGACCGCAGGAGAAACAACCCTGCCAGCACCTTGATCTTGGACTTCCAGCCTCCAGAACTGGGAGAAATACATTCTGTTGTTTAAGCCCCGCGGCCTTAGTAAGCTCACAGGCATCTTTCCACGGGTATTGATGCAGGCCTGCCCCCACTTTGGCGACGGGTTAGGGTCACTATTGAGCATCAGGTTCACCTTCTCCATGCTGACAGCCCCACCCCACGGGAGGATTAGCCGCTCATCCCTCAGAAGTCAGGTGTGGTTTGGCAGCTTCTTTTGGCCACCGTACTGGAAAAGGAGGGATGTAAGTATCACTTGTGGTTCACTGTGATCTTTCTCCTGCCTCTGTGGTTACGGAGAATGCGTCCAGTGAACTCCTGTCAGCACAGGTCCTCTGCAATGGGCAAGGGCCACCCCAGCTGGTCTGTGACAGATGAGTAGTGAGACGTGGGAGGTTTTGACTGCAGCACAATCTGGCTCATCCTGACTGATGTGACAGAACAGCTCTATTTACCTCACTCCATACTACAGGGCCTTTGGGCTGTTTCCAGCTTTGCTGTTAATGCAGTGAGTGCCCACTAGGCACTTGACAGGGCTCCGGCCACTACACAGGCCTTATCTCATTCGATCTTCCCACCACCTTACGAGGTCAGGTGACACCACAGACCATGAGCTTGCAAGTGGAGGCAAGGTGTGACCAAGCTCAAGTCCATGCTCTGAAGCCCCACACTGAAGAAGAACAACAGCCATCTGCCCATAGGCAAGTGGTCAGGGTATGTGTGCTTAGAAATGTTATGTGGGTGAATTGTAGTATTTGATATTCCCATCAAGAGCAAGAAAAAGCCTCTTTCTCCATACCTTCAGCAATTCTGGATACCTAGAACTTTTAAAGTTCTGGGATCACAGGCAGAAAAAAAAAAAAATCACCCATACTTCCCTGTAGTACTTTTATGTTTTTAAATATTGAAATCTTTAATCCATCTGGAGTGGAGCCTGGCACAGAGTGAGGTGGGTATCCAGTTTTACTATTTTCCAGATGGCTAACCAGTTGTTCCAACTCCTTTTACTAAATAATCCATTTCACCCCCATTAATTTGAAACAATACCTTCAGCATGAACTAAATTCCTGCATTTATTGGCTTTATTTCAAAGTTTTCTATTCTCCTCTGTTCATCCATCCACACCAATTCCAAGTACTTTCATTGTTGCAGCTTTATAAAAAGTTCTCTCATAGGACCGTATCCATAATACTTCTGGTGTTAAATTTTCCTTGGAGATGTGTACTTTAAAAACCCTCCCATAGTGCCCACTGTGTCATATCTTTAGGAAATAAAATCTCCAGGTTATTTCCAAGGCCAAGTATGGGATGGGCACGATGATCCGGTAGGCAGACCCCAGCACATCAGCCAGACCCTGAGCACAGCCAGCAAACCCTGCCAGACTGTCCTGCTCCCAGGAGTAGCCTCCTCTAGCCCACCTGTGTGTGAAGAGCTGGGAGTGGCGAATGACCCAAGGATCCTCCTCCCGTCATGCATGGCAGGGCCTCCTCTGCTGTCTCTCTGTTCCTTCTCCCCCCTCAGAACAGGAAAGCAGCTAGGTCATTGCATCTGCCCAAAGACAGGGCACAGCAACGGCTGCCAAGGAAACTGTCGCTCTGCAACACCATATGCACTGCCTATCTGCAAGGTCATGCCAGAGCCCTCCCATCCTCTCCTGATCCCACCTGCAAGGGCACCCAGGAACTGGCAACCTTGCCTTTGCTGCTAAGGCCCTGCCCTTGTTTCTTTTCCTTTGTGATGAGAGCCCAACCACAATAGGGCCCATTTTCCAAATTAAAAGACAGGTCATCTGGCCTCTCCGCAGATCCTCTTGGGCCTGCCTTGGGAGAACTGGCCCTGAGGAGAGGTATGCCAGACTACAAACCAAGCTGGCAGGAGCTGTCTGGGGCCCAAGGGAGATGGTAATGGCGGCGGGGGCGGGGGGGGGGTCAGAAGGGAAGATGGCAATCTTGAGCTGAAAGGGATTCTCTTTCAGTCCACTAAATGTAGATGAGAAAGGTGTCCTGCGCAGATGCCAGCAACAGTGGGGATGTCAACTAAGTGAATGGGCCATCACCCCAGTGAGTAACCCCAGGTTCTCTTGTCAGAGACATCTTACCAACTCAAAAGATATGGCCAACAATATCAGACCCACTGGCAGGCCAGTGGGTGGGGGTGGGACGCAGTCTGAGCTGGGTTTGAAAAAGGAGGGTCCAGAACTGAGCAATAGTGTGGAGGGGCAGCAGTGCATCTGGGGCTGAGTTACAATGTGCAGGGATTTCCCACACTTACACTTGATCAGAATCAAGGCTGCATAGTGATTTCTTCTGTTAGCTTGCTTGTTTGCTTTTAGGGTTATATCACCTTCCCACTTATTTCTAAGACTTGCAACTGTTTTATTTACAAGGCACCTGTGCCTTAAAATAGCTCACGCATAAAACCATCTGAACCCAGAGGCTTTTAAAGTTAACAATTACTAAATAATCCCAACCTGTCTATTTTACTTAAAAATTTTGACCAGATGTTTGCTTACTACTAATTTTTCTCTAAAATAACTAGTTTTAGTAGCAGTTCACATTTCCATTTATTTTTTCTTCCTAGTTTCCAGGAAAGTGTTGTTTCCACAATTATAAAACTGAAGGGACTTGACATTCTTGTCTAACTGTTCCTCTGGGTAGGTACTCTGTACCCATCCTGTGTTAAATTTGGCTTAAGGGAGCTTCTGAGCTCAGTTCTCATTATTAGAAAACCCATCCTTGTACAGAACAGGTCTTTCTTCATTCCAATCCTCTGGCCCCTGGGCCTCATAGCTCTGGTCTGCTGCCTGCTCCTCACTTCACCTCCAGCTCTAGGAAGTCAGTTCTCAAAACCACACTCTACCTGCCAGTCCTAACTCCATCCTTCAGCCAGACCCTTCAATTCGCAAAGCCCCCACCAGAAACCACACCTCCAACACCGACCTAGAGTACTCATGGCTAGGGCCTAGCTGGTTCCCAACAGAACAGGCAACAGTGTTCCGGCTAACAAAATAAGGGCTCTGCTTGTCAGCAGCCACCACACCACAAGCTGAGCCATAAATTCAACATATGTTTAATGAGTACCAAATTGTGTACCAGGGATGCAAAGCTGATCAAGATGGAGCCCCTGCCCTAGAGGCTCATAGCCTACCCAAAGATAGAAGTCATTTATAGTGTTATGGTTTAAGTGCTGAGTCAGCAATGTGTAAGAGTGGGCAAGGAGGCAGGGACTGCTGAAGAGCAGAAAGTGGGAGGGCAACATGGGCAAAGGCACTGAGACACAGAAATTCATGTCAACTTCTGAAGAAAACCAGGCATAACTACAATCTTAATATACAAAAGGGAAAAATGCCTGACACTGAATTAGACTGGCAAGGAGGCCTGTATCTCACCTCCCTAGCTGGCCAAGACTGCTGGTAAACCCATAGGGAAGCATCTTTCTCTGCCATTCCACTCATACTAAATGATCAAAGTGGCTGCTTCCTCCATGCAGCCTTCCTTAAATTCCAGCCAAGAGGAAAGAGGTCACAGGGAGCCAAGATGGGCAAGGGGGCCAAAGCAGAGACACCATCCAGGGACAGATCCAAACAGGGCTGACATGGCAGACCTAGTTTAGTCCAGCCAACATTGAACAAAGGGGTCTGGGGAGTGGAGCGGTTATAAAGACATAGAAATATCTGATGAGGACTGCTGTATGAAACTGTCCAACCAGTGGAAATGCAGCTGAGGAGGCAGCTTCTGGGCCACTGGGGAAGTGAGAGGATGACAGGCACAGCGTAGAGCCCAATATTCTGCTATAACAGGTGGTGGGGTGGTGAAGGAGACAAGGGCTCAGAGCAGAGCCCAAACAGGTGCACCTCCTGCCCAGCAATAAAACAAGTGGATACGGCAGTATCTGGGAAAGCCACCCCGTCCTGTTGGAGGGCTGTGGGGTTCCTCAGCTATGTAGGCCACTTCATCACAAGGAGCACTGCTGCATCTGCATCTGCCTGGGCTGTGTCCAGAATCCAGGGCTGTGGGGTGGGGAGTGGGGAAACTGTTAGGTCTCCTGGGGCCTCTGAGGTGTCCGCCACCCACTGTGGGGTACCTAAGGATGTCTCCTGGTCTACCTCTGTCTTAGAAACCTCCTCCTCTGTCTTCTGGGGTTCTGGACCCCCTGGTGGAACTGGATCTGGTTTCTGAGCAGGTGGGTTAGCAGATCCTGAAAGTACAGGGACAGAGGTAGCGGTCACCTCCCCTGGCTGGGACGAGGTTGGCCCCACAGGACCAGGATCAGTGCTGCATGCAAAAGTAGACAAGGTGGGGGATTCCACAGACCCAGGGCTGTTCTCCTTGGCCCACTGCTGTTCAGGGAGAGTATTTCTGGATGTAGAGTTGGAACTACAAACAGCAGGGGTGGCCACAGCAACTGGGACAGCACCCATGTTGAGTGCCAGGGCCTCTGAGTACTTAGCTAAGTACTGCTTCACCACAGGCAGCTCCGGGGGCCACTGGTGGCTGGCTCGAGGCAGGAAGCAAGGTGCTACAGCACTGCTCAGTGAAACTGTTCGGGTCTTGAACAACTTCCTTGAGATCCTGGCAGAAGAGCTCATAATCGTCAGGAAGGGGCAGGTCCCCATCGACGTACGGGGCTGCCCACACCTGGCTCAGTCCATCAGTTGCCCTAGGATCTCGAAGATGCAGGTGAGGTTGTCCTGATAGTGCTCAAAGCAAAAGGACATATCGGTCCAGAAGCCCTGGGGAGCCATCAAAGGTGCGTGGGTACGAGACTGGCACCCAGTGGAAGTCCACCCTGGGGGCCATGGGCCAGGCATGTGCAGAGCCGGGGGCCCCCTTTCTGTGGGCTTACCGCCGGGAGCACTCATGGCCATGCTCTTCTGCTCCAAGGTTGTGCGTGCACACACAGGGTCCCCACAGCAGGGCCGCTCAATCCAGGGATCCACTGGGGGGGGCATATGTGACGCCAGGAGAGACCTGGTCCATCTGCTGCCAAGGGTGTGCGTTGGTGTAATTGGCTGCTGCCCGGATGGGATTGCAAGGGCCCTGCCAATGGTGCCGGCCAAGAGGAATGCTGGGAACAGAGGGGAGTTGCCACATCGACTATAAGAGGAAGGAGGAAGAAAGGAAGAGACAGCGCAGCAGGGAGGGTGGGCATGACACAACAGGACAGAGATGGGCTGAAAAGGGGTGCGGCAAACCCAGGCGTTCCAGGCAAGTGCTGAGGGTCAGAGGAGCTGACAGCTGTGGCCTCAGGAGCGCTGAGAAGAGCTGACGGGACTGTCAGACGCAGGCCACCATCCAAGGCAATCTGTCCAAAAACAAGGTGGGGAAGAGCGGGAACCAGGCCCAACCACCTCCACTGGGCAGCAGGAGGAGGCACTAAGCAGGCAAACCCCAGGTACCCAACCAGGAGCTCTGAGTGGAAGGAGGGCCCAGGAGGCAGTCCTGGGAGGTCTGAGGTGGGCAAATGCCACCTGTGATGTTTCATGGGCAAGGCGTGATGGCAGATGCTGTCAGTCTCAGGAGAAGGAAAGGGGGCCAGGTCGGAACCCCCAGGGTTTCCTTGGATGGCCTGGCTGGCTGTCAGGGAGTTTCAGGAGAACGACAGTAGCTACCTTTTACTGAGTGCTCTATCTGTGCCAAACACTGACCCCCTGATGAGGCTGGTACGCTCATCGTACCAGAGGCAGAGTGGTGAGTGAAGTCACTTGTCTGCGGCCACACACCAACCACCAGTAAGTGATGGAGGCAGCTGAACCTGGCTCTAAAGACCACAGCTTAACCACCACACATCACCATGCTGGTTATGAACTACCTTTCAATCCACCAAAAAGGAGTCACCTAGTCGCCCCAAACACTGTGATTGCTATGTAAGTAGACAGTGTCACAAGATCCTTTAACATCAAAGCACTAGGAGCTTGGAAGGTGCTACCTTTCTGCCCAACAGAAGCCTAGGGACCCGTTATTCTCTGTGCCCTCCAGCCTCCCCACCCGTGCCTTCCAGACTCACCTCACCACTCAAGGGTGTAGCCTGCTGGCAACGCCACCCTACCCCGAACACACCTCCTTGCATCCCCATTCCTGTCGACAGCCCAGCATCCAAACCCCCAAGTTTAATTCCACTTGCTACGTCTTCTTTCACCACCCCAAAGTCACTGCTATAAAGGGCCTGGAGAGCAGTGGTCATCAACCCTGAGCAGCCCAAAGAGCCCCAGAGTGGAAAAGGAGGCTGCAACCATCACCAGATACAACTCCCTTCCAAAGCTAGGAGCCCTCTCCCAGGGCTCTCACACTGCCCAGCCTGATAGTGGCCACCTCCTCAGTCTCTCTGCAAAGGGAGGTCCACTCATAGCCACCACAGAACACACTCTGCAACCCCCCCCCCACAGACCCTAATGCTCCATCAACTCACGCCGGGCCACCACGGCCTGCACACACCTTTGTGCATAGTTGCCCATGTGTTTATCTCTCCTATCCCCATCAGAGTGAGTTCCTCCAGGGAGACACAGCTCTGCTGGTCTTTCTGCTGAGCACCTTCCAGGGTAACCTGCAGCACTTGAAGCTGCTAGGGTCAAGAGCACCTACCTTTGCCACCCAAGCATTCTGGAACCTCTCAGGTACAGCCCTCACTCTGTGGGGGTTCTTCCACCTGAAAGCCCTTCCCATCCTAACACAGTAAAAGAATATGCCAGAGCCTGCCGGCGGCAGTGGCCCAAGGGGCAGCACACAAGTGCAGTCCACTTGTGAGTCCAGTTCAGTCCCTCATCGAATTCTGAAAACCAGTGACTGCAAACCACACCCCAGCTCCTGCCACCAATCTGAGGTTAGGTGCCAGGCTGCATGCAAAACCCACATCCCATGCCCAGAAGACAGTGCACACTACCCAGGTCTCTGCCCTGGCTTCCTCCCAGCCCCAAATCCCACCCCCAATCAGAACCCTAGCTGTCCGCTGCCTGCTCATCAGCATGCCTGTGTGCCCCCTGCAGCCTGAGGGAGAATGCTCCCTTGCTCCAACCAGCCAGCCCTGACGGGCCTGAACCTTCCTAAGCCTGGGTCTCTTAACACTTTGGCGCCTTGGCTACCAGTCTGTTGACTTCTATCCCTTCTCTCCCCACCCTAACACTGAGGAATTTGGGCCCTTCTCCTGGACTGCACAGCGCTCTACTCAAGGAGCACGTACCGGGACGCACGCGCATTTGCCTCCGCAAAGCCAAAGAGCACCGATAACGCTGGAGACAAGGGGCCCCGGGGGTAGAATAACGTGCCCAAAGCCTCATAGCAAGTGGACCACTGCACCAGCCCTCCCGCAAACGCCATGCAGGAAACCGCAGGGAGAGCTCACAAGTCCCACTGCAAAAAGAAGCCGACCTACCTGAGGCTGCGCGAAGCGTCTGTGAAGAGGGTCCACGGATCTGCAGCTGGAGACTGCGGACCGGTCTCCCTCCCAGGGCGAGAGTCCAAGTGCCACCTAAAAAGTGCAGAACAATATCGGCCGCCGTGAGGCGGGGCGCGGGGGCGACCTCCGAAGACCGCGGGAAGCACCCGAAAATGACTTCAGGATCTCCCCAGCCTGCGGCGCCGACCGAGAAACTGAGGCTCGCCGTTCGGAAGGACAGCTGGGACCCAGTCCGGGAACTCCGAGCGCTTCTCTGCGGACAGGGAGTTAGGAAGAGATGGAGGGGCGGGGCCCCAGCCGGCAGCTCGGGTTCCCGCCGCCCCACTGACCCTCCCGCCGAAGTTAGCGACACCCGGTCGAACCCGCACAGCGCTCAGAGGCTGAACACGTCGTGCAGCCACGCCCCCTGCGTGCGCGCACCGCCCCATGCGTCCCACGCTGGCCTCCCAGCAGGGCCGCGCCTGCGCCCTGAGCCTTGGGCCCAGGGCCGCGCAGGCGCTCCCAGGCCCTGCCAGCGCAGCAGTGCGGCGCGGGGGGTCATGGGAGCGCGCTCAACCCGTCCGCGCGACGTACCTGGAGCGTTTCGGGCCGCGTTCTCAAGCGTGGGGCGGCCGGGACTGGCGGTGTCCCGCAGGCAGACGTGAAACGCGCTGGGGCTGAGGAACGGATAGCTGGAGGGAGGGGCCGAACACCCACCTGGCTCCCCCAGAGATGTTTGAGCCATTGCCACTGCCCTCCATCAGCTGGGCATTGGGGCGCTACGGAACGTCAGAAGGAATGTTGGGGACAGAGAGCATCAGGGAGGGTTTGGGCATAGAGAGGCAGCAGCGCTTCCATGGAAAGTGTTTCTCACCACCCAGTGCCTGGTTCTACATACCTCCGGCCCAGGAGCTGGAGGGCAGGGCAGCGCTGGCAGTGAGGACTCCCCACCTGCGTGCCTAGGGGCTGGCAAGCCTGTGGGTTTTCTAGTGGGTGGGTTTGTGCTGCCTACCCCGGTCGAGGCTGGACCGAGAGAGGACAATGAGGGCAGGCTGCCAAGGCCAAGTTTGCTGCCCAGGAGTGGCATGCCCAGTCAGCACCCAGAGACTTTGCAAAAGCGAGTGGAGCATGAGGTTGAGTGCTTCTCGCGTGCACCGCCCCATGTCTCCTCTCCGTGTGCTTAAGGTGCCTAGACAAGAGGTGGGAGGGGGTGCCGGCCCCCCAGCCCAAAGACCAAATGCCCTGTGGGCCAAGGACCTGGATGCAGGCCAGAAATTACTAGGGCCATCAGCAGCCGAATTCACTGGAAAAAGATGTTTCTCAAGGCGAACACACACGTAAGAGACCAGCTCCCTTTCTGCCCTGGTCTAGTGACTCCTTTCATGAAACCATCTCTGAAATGTTATCTGCATTTACACCCAAACTCACTCTCTTTGATCTTTGAAACGCGAATCAAAGATCACATTGTACCTTTACTTGGGTCTGTGGGGTTTTCAGCCACCTCCGCCAAAAATAATAAAAGTGGCACCCAGCCAGGAAACGCCTCCTTGAAGTGTGAATGAAACTTGTATTTTTCGGTTGTATCTTTCCTAATTGACCTGATAATTTAAACTTCCTGCCTCAAAGGAGGGGGGGGAGTTCCCGACAATTTGGCTTAACTCAGGCACTAGGCAGCTCAGGCCAACTCAAGGCCTGTCAGCAGAGAGCAGGCAGCAGGCTTGTGTAAAAAACTAATAGGCCAGCCTATCGGAAATCACCGTTTTTGATTCAAATTGCTTTCTTTCACTCAAGCCATCTTCTATGTATATATATTTTTTAATTGTGGTAAAATATACATAACAAAATTTACCCTTTTAAAACCATTTCTAGGTGTACAATTCAGTGGCATTAAGTATATTCACACTGTTGTGCAACCTTCACCACCTGACCCATCTCCAGAACTTTTTCATCACCCCAAACAGAAATTGTATCGATTCTAATTCCTCACCGCTGCCTCTGTCCCAGCCTCTGGTAACCTCTATTCCACTTTGTCTATGTTAATTTACTTATTCTAGGTATCTCATATCTAAGTGGAATCATACATTATTTGTCATTTCACTTAGAATAATGTTTAAGAGGTTCACGGTGTAGCACCTATCAGAATTTTTGTTCCTTTTTAAGGCTGAATAATATTCATAATATGTACATACCACACTTTGTTTATTATTCAGCTGTTGATGGCCACTTGGGTTACTTCCATCTTTAGGCTATTGTGACTAATACTGCTATTAATATGGGTGTACAAGTATCTATGTGAGTCCTGCTTTCAGTTCTTTTAGGTATATACCTAGGAGTGGAATAGCTGAATCATATGGTAATCCTATGTTTAACTTTTTGAAAAACTGCCAAATTTTTCCAAGGCAGTTGCATCATCTTATGTTCCCACCAGCAATGCACAAGGGTTCCAATTTCTCCACATCCTCATAAACATTTATTCTTTTCTGGGTTTGTTTGTTTGTGTGTTTTTGATAATAGCCATCCTAATGGGTGTGAAGTGGTATTGCATGGTTTTAATTTTAGCGATGAGTGAAATTCAGCATCTTTTCATGTGTTTATTAGCCATTTGTATATCTTCTTTGGAGAAGTTTCTGTTCGTCCTTTGCCCATTTTTTAATTGGGTTTTTTTGTTTTGTTGTTGGTGAGTTGTAGGTGTTCTTTGCAGATTTTGGATATTAATCCCTCATTACATAATTTGTGAATATTTTCTCTCATTCTGTGGCTTATCTTTTCAGTCTCTTGATGGTTTCCTTTGAGGCACAAAACTTTTAAATTTTGATAAAGTCAAATTACCCATTTTTTTCTTTTGTTATTTTGGTGTCATATCCAAATCATTGCCAAATCCAATGTCATGGAAATTTTCCCTTTTTTTTTTTCTAAGAATTTTATAGTTCTAACCCTTATGTTTAGGTCTTTGATCCATTTGAGTTATTTTTTATACAACTTGGTTTAAGATAAGGGTCCAACTTCATTTTTTTGCATGTGGATATCCAGTTTTCCCAGTATCATTTGTTGAAAAGACTGTCCTTTTCCCATTGAATAGTCTTGGCACCCTTGTCAAAGATCAATTGACAATATAAGATTGGTTTATTTCTGGGATCTCTATTTTATTCCATTGGTGTCTATGTCTGTCACTATGTCATACAATCTTGATTACTGTAGCTTCATAATAAGTTTTGAAATCAGGAAGTTTGAATCCTCCAATTTCACTCATTTTTTCCAAGATTATTTTGGTTATCAGGGGTCCTTGAGATTCCATATGAATTTTAGGATGGGTTTCTCTATTTCTGAAAAAACAAAACAAAACACTGTTGGGATTTTGATAGGTATTGCCTTTAATCTGTATATCACTTGGTATAGTATGGATATTTCAATGATATTAAGTCTTCCAGTCCGTGAGTATGGGATGTCTTTCTATTTATTTAAGTATTCTATAATTTCTTTCAGTGATGTTTTGTAGTTTTTGGTGTGCAAGTCTTTTGCTTCTTTAGTTAAATTTATTCCCATATATTTTATTCTGCTTGATGTTATTATAAGTAGGATTGTTTTCTTAATTTCCTTTTCAGATTGCTCATGGTTGGTGTATCAAAATGCAGCCCATTTTTGTGTGTTGGTTTTATATGCCACAACTTTGCAGACTGTATTTATTAGCTCTAGCAGGTTTTTGTGGACTCTTTAGAGTTTTCTACATAGAAGATCATGTCACCTGTGAACAGAGATAATTTTACTTCTTCCTTTACAATTTGAATTTCTTTATTTCTCTTTCTTGTCTTATTGCTCTGGCTAGGACTTCTAGCACTAAGTTGAATAGAAGTGGCAAGAGCAGGCATCCTTGCCTTGTTCCTGATCTTAGAGGCAAAGCTTTCACTTTTCACCATTGAGTGTGATGTTGGCTGTGGATTTTTTGCATATGGCCTTTATCATATTGAGGAAATGTCCTCCTATTCTTAGTTTATTGAATGTTGTATCATGGAAAAGTATTGAATTTTGTCATGCTTTTTTCATATCAATTGATGTGACCATGTTTATTTCCTTCTTTCTATTGATATGGTATATTACATTGATCTTGAAATATATTAACAGGGAAGGACATTTTCACCCAGTTACTCTGTGTATATTTTCACAGCTTACTCTGCGGAGCCCACCAAGCGTCCAGAATGTGAATGCAAGGTTCTCATTGGATGATAAAGCAGGAGTCAGCCCATTTCACATATGGAGAAGCTAGACTTCATAAAGGCCAAGACTTGCCTGAGGGATGATAAACTTGAGAGTCCCAACCCAGCTTGCAGCCCCTCCTTTGGAAATGCACCCACTTGTGTTGTGTTCCAGATGTGAGTGTTTGAATTAGGAGGCCCAGAGGCAGTGGTCAGGCAGGGGGCATTGGAACAAGGACTTCAGCTCTGAAGTGTTCAAGGTTGATGTTGGCACTGTGTCCCCAGAGCAAAGGGGCAACAAGGAAGCAGGAACACGCAGAGAGGTGACGCCAGCTGCTTGAGGACTGTCAGCCTCTGCAGCCTATCTGTGCTCCTTGCACCTGGACCTTCATCAGGGGCCTTCCCCAGAGCCCATTGGTGGATGCCTGAGCCCAGAACCAGGAATACCAGGGTCTCTCTGTTCAGCCAACACCTTTCTCATTCTACCAAAAGTTTCCCTGAAAATACAGAGCTGAATCCTTTGGTGCCTTCTCAAAGGTCGCACTTTCCAGGAAGAGTCTGTTTCCTCTTCTTCTGGTAGGGCTGTGTCCTAAGTGATTAGCATGGATGCCTCAGAGACCCTTCCAATTTAGCCAGGTGGCTGGGCACATGACCCTGGTACCTCTGGGGTTCCTTGTGCTTCAGCCTTGTTATGGACTGAATGTTTCTATCCCCCTAAAATTCATACGTTGAAATCCTAACTCCTAATGTGATGGTATTAGGAGGCATGGCTTTTAGAGCCCTCATGAATGAAATTAGTGCCCTTATAAAAGAGACCTTACACAGCTCCCTCATTCCTTCTGCCACGTGAGGACCCAGGGAGAAGCTGGCTGTCTGTAAACCAGAAAGTAGGTTCTTACCAGACATCATATCTGCTGGTGCCTTGATCTTGGACTTCCCAGCATCCGGAACTGAGAGGAATAAATTTCTGTTGCTTATAAATCACCCAGTCTATAGTATTCTGTTACAGCAATCTGAAGTAAGACAGGCTTTTGGAAACCATTGTTGTCTTTGTCAGTTTCTTTACATTATTTCTTTCTCTTTTTAAATTGAGGTAAGATTTACTTCAATAAAATATATAGGTCTTAAGAGCACAGTTCCATAAATTTTGTGCAGTAAGCCACCACCACACACAATTAAGCTATAGAACATTCCATTACCCAGAAAGTGTTTCCATCCCTCATAGGCCTTGTTCTGATTTCTACTGCATAGCTTTATTT